ACTAGGCCCAAGCCCTGAGGCCTGTGTTCCCTGTGGTTGTCCTTGTGGATGTGTCCTTCAGGCATCCGCCCAGGGACCCTTCAGACATCGTTGCTGACCTCCTGCCCTTCTGGCTTTGCTCATGTTCCCATCAGATGCTTCCTGCTCACTCCAGGGCTGGGACTAGCAACTGAGTCTCATCATCCCCCTCCCCCCATTCTACCTTTCAGCCTAAAGTGAGACACCTCCTCACCAGAGGCTTCCACTAAGAACCCTTTCCTAGTGAGTTCCCACTTGAGGACAGCACCACTGACGCCTCTCTTTGTGGTGCAGAACCTCAGCCCCTCTCAGTCACAACTACAAGTCAGGAACAACAATGTTGGCTTTGTAGGGTACCTAGCATGGATGGAATGTCTCCTGTTCTCCCTCCTCAGGGGCTAGACCTGGGGATCCAGTATCCAGTGGGGACATACTGCCTGGCTCCTTTGGTGGGGTCAGTGTGTTTGTTGGGATGACAGGACAGCATGCACCAGGATCTGTCTCCCACTGCTAGCTCTGTCGAGGTCCCCAGCTGCCCTTTCCCCCTTCTGGGCTCTGGGGCCCCGTTTGGGATGGGAGGCCCTGGTCACCTCTGGCCCTCACCCCAGGGCACTGTGTGTGAGACTGGGTGTTGACAGTTCTGTCCCTTCCCTCCTTCACTCACCCAGGAAGCTGTTGCTGTCACATCCAGAGTGTGGTGTTGGCCCCTGACTGGCTCTTAGTCTGCAATACTGGGTGTGGCTGGAACCACCCCAGGGTCAGTCTGTCCTGGGCATCTCAGGACAGAGTCTTGGGAGGGAGGGCTTCTCCTGAGGTGGTCAGAGTGCTGCTCTCAGACCTCAGCCTGTGGCCAGCCAGGACCCACTGGCTCCAAAATCCGTTCCTGCTGCGGTGGGGTTGGGACATTCAGGCAAAGGGGTTTCCCTCCTGGGACTCTGCTGGGGGGCTCCCCTCCCCAAGAACCCATCTTGACATTGTGGGCTGTGCTCTCGTGGGCACTAATAAACAGACGCCACCAGCCCAGCCTGCCATGGCAACCGCCCGCAGCCTCCCTCTCTGTCCGGGCTCTGGGCAGCTTTATCTCTGAGGCCATCTGTTCTGAGAGCAGAATTCCAGAGCCGTTTAAACAGAGCCTGGATCAGGGCAAGGAGCCGAGCCCTCTACCCTCCCACGTGTGTGCACACACTCAGGAACACAGGCACATGTAAGAACACGGCACACACACTCACGCCACACATAGGCACGTGCACACACAGGCAGATGAGGCATGTTCCCTGCAGGGTGCAAGGACAGCAGAAGGACAAAATCGGGGAGGCTACCACCCAGTGCTTACTTTCTCCGGGGCCCAGGCAGCCTGTCTCCTTCATAGCCCCTCCCTCCCCTTTTCTCTCCTCTCCTCACCTCTCTGTCTGTCCAAGCCCATCTGATTTCTGCCTTTGTCTCTCCCTCGTCCCCACACTGGTCTCCTTTTTTGCTTGTCTGTATCTGTCTCTGTGTCCCATCCCCTTGACCGTGGTCTCCAGCCCCTCCCCACTTCTCCCTCAGTGGGCTGTCCTCTGTCTCTCTCCCAGCAGCTCAGCCGCTCTCTTCTTTTTGCCTTTTCTGTCCTCAGGAGGCTTCTGGTCCTCTCCCTGGTCCTGGCTGGGCCCAGAACAGTTTGGCAGGGCCTGTGGCTTGCTCACACCTCGGGGCTGGACACGTTTGCTCCCCATGCTCTCTTTCCTCGCCTCCTCTGGCCCAGATGGCCAGGGGTGGGGGACCATTAGACACTGCTCTCAGTTTCCTGGCTCCCCCAGGGTTTGGGGGAGCCTGGGGAGTCTGCCCACACCTGGCACCACGACCCTCGCTGTCTGGACAGGCAGCACCCAGCCTCTCTGGGACCACTGCAGTTCCTTCTCAGTGCTTGTGCTGTGGTGTGTGGGCCTTTCCCTGCTGGCCTGAGCTCTTGCTAAGTCTTCTGAGAGCTGCCCAGAGACAGGCAAGCAGGGGACCCGAAGGGGCAGACCCGAGGGGCTTCTTGGGCACAAATATTGGGCGGGGCTCTATTAAAATGCCCCTGGAAACTGGTGCAAGCCTGGACTTCCAGTGGCCGTGATCTGAAATACTTTCCCTGCCTGGGCACCCTGTGGCCCCTGGAGACCCCGACAGGCCCCACCGGGCAGACCCTAGTCTTGCTGTTCCTCAGGCATACAATGCTGAAGTCTCAACTAGGACTATACCTGGGGCAGGTCTTTCTTCGGCCAGGGCAGCCGCGCTCAGTGCTGTGCTCCGGTCAGAGGGAGGGAGGTGCCGTGGTGGCACAGAGCCCCTGGGAGAGCTGGGGTGTTGGCTGCTGTGGGCAGCTGGAGCCGCATCCTGCCGAGGGAGCTCTTCTCTCCCAGGGTGCCTGTAGTCCCTGCAGGCTCTTGTGCTGGTCCCTGAGCGCACTTCAAGTGGGGTGGGCTGGGGTGGGTGGTGGATGGCCGGTGGGGGGTGGAGGAACCTCGAGGACCACCCCTTGCAGCCCCTCAGGCCTTCAGAGAATACATTCTTTGTCTCACCTGACATGGAACTTGTCCAAGTGGTTTCTTCATATGATGGATTATGAGGCTGTTTGGTTTTATTTTATTTTATTTTTAGAAAGATTTTATTTATTGATTTGTCAGAGAGAGAGAGCAAGAGCACAAGCAGTGGGAGCGGCAGAAGCAGAAGGAGAAGCAGACTCCCCGCGGAGCAGGGAGCCCGATGCCTCGATCCCAGGACCCTGGGACCACGACCTGAGCCGAAGGCAGACGCTGTTTAGAACAGCATCAGTGTTCCCATACTCCTCTCATTGTGACTTTAAATAATCAGTCTCAATTAACTATATCCAAAGGATGCATTTTCCCAAAGTTAGGGGTCCTAATCATGTGGTATCTGTGGTGCTGGGATTTTCAGGCTTCTGGGGGGTCTCCAAGTTCGAGAGGCCAGAGAGTGTGAGGGGGTGGGGGATCATTAGCAATGACCACCAGCCAGTGTGTGTGGGCCCCATCGGAGGACCCCCAGGGAAGGTGTCCCTATTGCTCTCCCTTTGCAGAGGAGTAAACTGAGACACAGGAGTGTTAGAGAACTAACCTGAGGTGACTCTTCTGCAAGCACATCCGTCACTGCAGATGAGGGACAGGGACAGCCTCGAGGGGACCTCCCACTCTGCCCCAGCAGAATCTGTAGCCGCCACCCCTACGTGCCTGTGCTCTGCCTCCAACCTGCGCATTTGCCGCATCTGCCCCTGCTCTCCCCGCCTGCCCACACCTTCACCAAGCTCTCTCAGCACACCTCTAACCAGATGACTCACCTTTTATTTCCAGCTTGATCTTGCTCCTGAGCCTCAGATTGGAGTCCTGGGGACAGCAGAACAGCCGATTCCTACAAACCTGCTCCCTTCCAGTTCCCCCTCCCAGTAAGTATGCATTGCCCCCACCCAGTGGCTCAGGCTGCACCCTGGAGTCCCACCCTACGTCCAGACCCTCAGCAGCCCCACCTGGGCACTCTTCCCCTTGGACCATCTGGCTGTCCATTTCTCAGCAGTTGACCTTACTGGAGGCTTCACTGGAGGTGTGGAGACGTTCAACCAGTCACAGGGCTGTGAGGGGATAGGGGATCTGCCTGGCTCAAGGACAGTGAAGCCTAACCCCACAACCTATTCCTCCAGCTTGGAAGGCAGCCCCTGAGTGCCCAGCATCCCTGCTGGCCTGAGCAGATAGATGGTCTTCGCCACCAACAGGCTTTGCTTAAGGGTGAGTCTGTGAGGACAGACTGGGAGTTCCTTTTCTCCAACCCCATCACCTGAGAGGCCAGCTCTGAGGCCTTCTGCTCTAGAGGAATGCTCTGGCAGGCATGGGGTTTCATCTGACCCTCTCTCCTTGCAGGGGTCCATGCCTGGGGCCCTTCATGGCCTGGAGAGCCCCACCTGGCCCTAGCTTCCAGGCCTGCCCTAGAATCAGTGAACATAGGACCCCTGTTGTGGGCCTCAGCTGCCCCACAGTGCACCCAGGCCTCTACCTGTAGGGAGTAGTCACCTCCCAGAGCTGAGGATGGGATCTGACTTGCCTTGAGGGTGAATGGGAGCTTCCTCCCAGCATCGGGGAAGTCTGGTGGAGGGAATGGCCAGGCTCGAAGCTGGGAGTGTCCGGCCAGGTCCGGTCACTTTTCCAAAGGACACTGGTGGGCAGTGAAGGGTCATGGACATGGACATGGAATGAGGCAAGAGAGGTTATCCTAGAAAGGACTCCTCCACCCTCCACCCCCACCCCCACCCTCCACCCCTGCCCTCCCCACTCCTGGTCTGGGGAGCAGCTGGAGGTCCAAAGCCAAGTTCTTCCCCTTGTCCCTGCAAGTTCCACACCTCCTAACCCTTCACCTCTGAGGGAGTGAGTTTCTGGACCTCCCTTCACCTTCCCCCACCCCTGCCCCCAAGCCTCCCGACCTGGGTGGTGGGTAGTCCATAGTTCAAGGGCACAGGGTTCTGTCCCCTTGGCAGCCATTGTGTTAGGGAGAGGCAAGGACTCCCCAGACCTGATCCCACCCCACCCCATCCAGACCGGTCTCCCACCAGGTTTCTGGCTCGACTTTGTCTGGAGTGCGGCAAAGAGAAGGGAAAGTGGGAGGAGGAAGGGGAGGGGGGAGGAGGGGAGAAAGAATCCAGGGGGAGGGGGAAAGTGGGAGAGGGGAGGAGGAAGCATCTTTGGGAAGAGCCCCTCCCCTCCCTCATTTGTTTTTCCCCCAGTGAGAGGAGGCTACGCTTTCCCCCACCTGCAGGAGGGGCTCATTGTCTGGGGTCTCCAGGCCCATTGTGTGGGGAAAGGAGCCTCATTGGCAGGGCACCAATTTGTGATTATCTGCTCCCTGGCCCTGATTGGCTGGCTGAGAAGGAGACTCCACAGGGCCCGGGGACACAGAAGTTTGTGTAGCAACTTTTTCCAGCATGATATGACTGTGTGTCCAGGCTTCGGAGTGAAGGTGTGCCCGCCCAGCCAGGATGACGCTCTGCGGGACCTTCCTGGGTGCGTACCTTTCCCCAACCCTGCACACCCCTCCCTGGGCCTGTTCACACACTTCTGCCAGGACACCAAGGGGACTAATTAGCTGTGTGTCCGTCAGCACTCAGCATTCTTTTCTGGGCAGCCGAGGAGGTGATAGACATATGCTCCCTCCTGAGTGAGGCCAGGGTCTTTGGCCTGACGCCTCTCCTTCCAGCGGATTGTGTGTCTTGCAGAACTGTCAAGGCTGCCCTGTTTGTGGGCTTGCCTTCAAAGGTTGAAGGTGAGGACAGTGGGTGGGGCTGTATGTGCCCCGATGCAGGGGCCATGAGGCTCTGGGGGAAGGTGGGGTGGAAAGAAGGCATGTGTGTGACCGATGTGCACCTGAGACTAGCCGTGGTAGAGAGACTTTGACTGGGACTACTGCTGTTTGCATTCCCAGCACACGCAGAGTTGCTGTGCGTGTGTGCCTGTGTTTGAAACATTAACACAGTGTTAGGGCAAGAGTTAGTGTGTGAGCCCCACAATATCCTCCCAAACATGTGTGTGTCTGAGAATGTGTGTTCACACAGTGTCAGAGGGTTGGTATGTTTGATGTCCCAGCATAAAACCATCCCACAATAGGGCCCAGAGCATGTGTGTGTGTGTGCGTGTGTGTGAAAGGCTCACAACCCAGCAAGTGTGAGACAGGCACACAGAGTCAGCCCAGGGTGTTGGTAAGAGGGGCTCTCGGTTTTGTTTGCTCCATCTGCCAGAGCCTGCCTGGGGCAGCGGCCCCCTCGCACTCAGCTGTCCCTATACAATATTAATGCTGACCATCTCGGCTCCACACACAACGACCCTAATTGTCGTCTGCAGCTTTAAGGCGGGCGCCCATCTGCAGGGAAGCTTTCAGAAGGAAACAAGAAAACTCTCACCCCCAGCTGGTCACCGGAGAAGGTGCCAATTACAGATGCAAAAAGTTTAGACCAAAATTACTTGAAAGAGTTTTTATGAAGCAAATGAACTGACACTTGGAATGTCTGTGTGCAGATTTGCACAAGTAATTACATTTTATTTGAAATGATCTTACCAGCGAGGCAATCATGAAGCCTGCTTCTCCCATTTCCCACAGAGCAATTCCTTAGCAAGTGCCGCAGCCACAAGTTTGGTTTTGCAAATCTCCCCCTTTTCTCCCTCTGCAGGGTTCGGGGGACCTCTAGTCAGAGGCTGTTCCCCTGTGCATCTCCCAAACTTAAAAGTCACATGCAACTTGCCCACAGATTTTTATGAAATAAAGCTTAAAGGAACAATGTACTCCATTCTTAGTTCCGGAAAAGAAAATATTTTATGGCTAAAAAAATCCTGACAGCTTTTCACCTTGTATCAGAAAGTTTTCGGTTACACCTTGCTGTTGTCACTTGCCGGCAGGGCTGGGAGCCTGGGTTTAAAATCGCTTCTCCCAGCCCAGAGTCCTGACAAGACGTCAGTGTGTGGAGAACAAAGGGCCCAGCTCCGGGGGAGGGAGCGCTGTCCAAAGTGCTGATCAGACCTCCGGCGCGTCGCACCCTCTGCTCAGGCTGGAAGGAGAAGCCAGACCCCAGCAAGTTGTCAGCACAGTCCCTTCCCTGCTCCTTGCCTATAACCCCTCTTTGTTCCCTAGATAGAGTCGGCTAAAGATTTTGGACCTTTACTCATCAAAACCCATCTTCTGAAACGGCTCATTCAACTGTAACCTCCCAGTGGGAATTCCCGGGGCTTCTCTCCAGGTTCTTGGAATAGGCACCGATTTGAAATTTCCAAGCGCATTCAGAAATGCTCACCCGAGCAGCCTCAGGTGGAGCCCGATCCCGACCACCGGAGCTACACTCCTCAGGACGCTGTGCTTGCTCCATGGGGGAGGTGTGCAATGCTGAGAGGCAGAGGTTTGCACAAATATGATTTATGTTACCTGGAAAACTAATTGTGCGCACCAGCGCTGTGTGTTGTCCACATACTGATCTCTCCCTGTTGTCGCTTCTGTTGGATGTTGTCCCCTAAGTTTGACTGTCACATATCTGAATTAAATACTTTCATGAAACACTGGGTATTGTTGGGAATACGGCTGATTCAGCACCGGCCCTCCCTTTGATTCTATCTTCCTGGTGGAACAATGGCGTGCAGGGCTGCCTCAGCCTGCAGCCTGCCGATAAGAGTTTAATAGAATTTCTGAATGCCAAAGGTTTGGGATGTAAAATATCCCAGCACTCACAGCGTGTCCGGAGGAGACAGAAAATGGCTTTTCAGGAGAGCTCTCAACTGAATATGTTCTTCTATGCGAATGGATATGAGCTCACAAAAGAATAAAAACAATGGTAGGCAGTCATTGTAGGAGCCTCAAACTGTTCTCATTTGGCTAATTAATATTTCATCCTCAGTTTGACCAGTGAACGCTTGCGTTTATTTCCTCTTACTCAATCTAAAAGATTGCCCTGTGCACATTGTGCGTTTTGTTTGTTGAGAAGAATGTGTGTGTGTGCAAGAACTGAACATACTTGCCTTTAGGACGAAGCTCGTTGGTTTGCATGGAATGTAGGCTGTAGCACTGCATGTTAAAAATAATTGCTTGTGGAGAGTTTCAGCTGATTTTCAAAACATGTTTTCTTAGAGGAAGCTAAATATTCTAAGCCTAATTCATGCTTCTGGTGGCCTGAGCCATTTAGTGCTGATTAAGTTGGGGGGCTTGTGCTCCTGGATAACATAGCAGGAAATGATATTTACTGTGTTGAAATCTCTGCCCTGAACTTCGCGGGGCTGGCCTGCTCCTGTGATGGTCTTAGACAGCCGCTTGTCACGGGCGTCCAAAACCCAGCCTGTGTCCTGTCTCACGGCACAGTTTCTAACAACCTGATGACGATCACGGACACTCGTTTGCCTGATCTATCGGGAGGAAAAGGAAGTTTGGATAATAAGCAAGAATACCCTGGCTCCTGGGTACTCTTGCTGAGGAGGTTCCTACATTTATTCCTGAAAGTGGAAAACAATTCGGTTGCTTGAGGTGTAGGTGGGCAGTTCCATTGATGCAGTTTAAAAAGACTCAAAAGACAGAGCAGAGAACTTGAGCTGTGTGTTTCCCTCTGGCCGGGATAAACTAACTTAGTGGTTTTGGGGCATAGAGGACTTGTGTCCAAGATCTCATTGAGAGGATTTTATTATTTTAAAATTTAAGCCAAAAAGAGAATGTGTGATAAAAGAAAAATATCTTTTTTCCTGATCTTTTCTTTGTGTGTATGACTTTAGTTTTAGGTCTGTGACCGTAGGCACCTTTTATGAACTTTTAAAAATATATACCTATCCTTTGAAGTCACTGATACTTGAACATGCAGATGAACCAGTATGCACCCCTCCTGGTTCATCTGAGTAATAAATTCTGCAGTCCGTTCTTTATGACGGTAGGTCATATTCCTAACCACCAATAAATATTGTAAAGTACTTTCGCTGCAGCCGTGCTAACCCAGGGCATCTGTCATTCCGGTTGCTGCTATTAGGAATTATTGGACTGAACCACTGGTGGAGACAGCACAGGGGGGTGAGTATGGCGGTTGTGACGCTCTCTGCCCTTCTGTGAGTTCTGCATAAAAAAACCCCAATCATGCTGCATATTAATTATGGTACAGTGTGGGCAAACACAGCCACCTTCTGTGGGCTGATGCTTGGAGCAGGAGACAGGGGCTCTGCCGGCCTGGGCACCTCTCACTTTCCAAGTCAGCAGATCCATCTTTCTGATGCTATACTGTAAATTTATTTCACCTCGGAGAGTAAACAGATATATTGGAGCCCCAGGGGTTCATGGGTAGCGTATTTACAAAGGAGCCTCTCCGCCAGCCCGTGCCACCGCTGCTAATGAGAGCGGTCATTAAGTAAATGAGACGTCGCCTTTAGCTGGCTTAGGAGTCGCACACTAAGGGGAGAAGATATTTAATTGAAACCCGCACACAGGCTTCCCCACATGTGACCGCTGTAAGGGAGGCAGCTGCCTCCCCTCTCCTCCCCCGTCCACCCTGCACCCCCCATGTAAATTTCATGATTGCTTTCCGTGATGTCATTTGGAAGGAGGACAGACAATAGCTGTGGGGAAAGGTAAGTCCATGTTACGCTCTTTCGCTGACAAAGGCAGATATCCAAGTGCTTGGCTTTTCCCCTTGGACCGAGACAGGGAGAGGGCGCGCGAGCAGAGTTAATTTCTAAGATGAAGGCGTTCTTTGCAGGAAAAGCAGGTCTGGGGATGGCTTTTTAAAGCTGCTCTGTTGGACTGAGTCTTTCTTCTCCTACCGGGTCTGCCCGTGGCTGTTTTCCTTCTCTTCTTCTGTCCCTCCCCTGCTTGTTCATGCGCTTGGCCTCTCCGAGAGTCTAGTGGACATGCAGTGCGTCTGACAGGAAAGACATTGGGGGGACTGTGTACCAAGACAAGAAACTTTATGTGTATTTCTGGACGAGGAACACAGATATATCGGCAGCCGTGGGACCCAGCAGCTATGTGGTGGGGGAAAATGCTGCCTCCTTAAGCAGAAGACCTCTCTGGAGCAGGGATCTCAGAGTTGCTACCTCGTGTGAGCCCCCCATCCAAGACACGGAGGAGAGATGGTCATGTGAGCATTTTGTCTTTGCGTGTCACGTATTTCTAAACTTAAGGAACAGCATTTAGGGTGCATGTGTCTGTGGGATAGGCGCACGGAACTAAATACCCGCTGCTCTTCTCAGCTGCTTTTCCTGTGGCGATGGGGACCAGCAGTGTGGTTGTTTATAATATTAGTGTAACTGGATTTGTGTATTTAAAACTAGAAATCAGGGGTTGGCCAGGAAGACGGTATGAGCTTTGAACAACAGAATGCCGTTGCCTGTGAGATGATGTGTTCTGGGGCTAGGGACTTTGTTCTGTCCCTTGGATTCACTTCCTTCTTTGTGAATCAGGAAATAAATATGCCTCGTGTGGCTCTGGTGCTGTGGGTTCTCACCATGAGGGTCCTGCTCACTGTCTCTGAATCATGGAGGGCTGTTCTGGTCTT